TGTTTTGTTACTGTTAGGGGTAGTTCTCGATTAGGACCTTTTTGCAAATTTGCCTGAAAGTTATGCTCATTTCTTACTTTTTTGCAATTTTCGCACTTTTTGACAGGGTGTAAAACTTTTGAAAAAATGCGACCGCCATATTGGATCCGCCATTTTGAATTCTTAAAAACGGACTTCAGATTCGTTATCAGCGACCAAAACCCTTAGTTACCTGATTTCGCAACAATCGTAAAAATAATTCGTAAAATAGTCGAACCTACCCCCAAAATAGATAAGGGTGATTTCTACCCTTCAAACGGCTTTCGGGCCGATATAACAATATACGTGTCTAATAGTTTTCCATGTACTACTTGTATGCCAAGTTTCAGGAAAATCGCCTACTTATATGCCAAGTTTCAGGAAAATCGCCGTATGACACTTCCCTAGTGTTACTTGTAAGTAATGTATAGGATAATTTTGTTCGCAAACATATTAATCGTTATTTCGCACGCATTTATTTAGATCGTTTTCGGTAGGCGTAAAATACGTTCGGCTATCTACGTCTATCGCTATTATCGGTTGATTTACTTCTATAAATATAAATGTGTTATTAAATTTGTGCATAGGTAATGGGATTGCCTTTATTATTTCACACTCGGGGTATGTGATTAGCGGAATCTTTATAATCGTAAATATATTTGTATTATCGTAGTATGCGCTAATTGTTAAGAACTTTTCAGTTGTTCTCCAATTCTCTGCGGATATTTGAAATGGGAAGTGCGTTCCCTGCGGTATTTGTGACGCTATTTCCTTGAGGTTATCTAGGATGCTTTCTATGGGTAATAATCTTATGTCGATTACCCCTCTTTTCGCGTTAGTCAGATGCGCGATAATATCCATAAGATCGTTCGTTAGATCTTTTATTATGGCATTTAATATTATGAAGTGTTCGTCGAGATCCTCTCGTTGTCCATATCCGACTTCTGTTTGTATCCAGGCTTGTCGCATCTTCTCTGTTATATTTAAGAATTGTTCTTCATTTTCCTGCAGAACTTTTTCAACATTATCCACATGCGCAATTGTTGCGTTTAATATTTTAATCTGATTTTTCATCGCGTGCTGCAGCGTTTGCTGATTCCTTTGCATGAGATTTAATTGCTCTTTTATAATTCTTTCGTCGTCTGCGTCCATTGTGCCGAAGAGTGTTTTGGCTATCGTTCCTAGACCGTCGATGAGCCCTCGTCTTGTCTTCTTGGGAGCTTGGTACGCAATTTTTAGACGTTTCAGCAATTTTTCTGCTTGTTCTCTGTCCTTTTCTGCTATTTGTAGC